CTGCCAAGTCTAAAACGGAGATGTGTGGAGCTGGGAAATAGAAACATAGCGAAATGGGATAAGGGAGTCTTAGCACTGTTGCTACAGTGCTGACTTGGAATTGTGGGTTATAGAACTGTCTGCCTGACTCTTCCTGGCCTAAAGAGAACACTATGAAGCACAGATGTCCATGTGCACGGGTATTCAGAGGGAGTTGAGGAGCGCAGGAATGAGGCATGTGGAGTAAATGCATGAGTGAAATGAGGACTTTCCTTTCATGGCTTCTGGGTAAAGAGGAAGTCTATGACTGGAATCCTTGTGCACTGTGATGGGAATGTAAAATGGCACAGCTGCTGCAAATAGAATGGAAAGCAAGGTCTACGAGAGTAATGTGTATACCCAGTTCCACAACAGCATTATTTATAATGCTCAAAAGCTTGAAGCAACTTAAGTGTCCATCCATGAATGGATAAATAAAATGTGGTCTGTCCATACATTGGACTATTATCTAGCCTTGAAAAGGAAGGGAATTCTGACACATGCTTCAACATGGATGACCCTTGAGAACATGATGCTCAGTGAAATGAGCCAGTCACAAAAGGGCAAATATTGTATGATTCTACTTCCACGAGAGGCTTTAGATGAGAGTCTTATAGCCAAATTCATAGACAAACAATAGGACGGTGGGTGCTGGAGGCTGGGGAGGAGGAATTGGGACTTGTTTGATGATGTGAGGGAAGATGAACAGGTGTGGAGATGGATGGTGGATGTTTACACAATACTATGGAAGTGCTCAAAGCCAGTGACCTGTGTGCTTAAAAAATGGTTTAAGGGCTGGGGTATGGCTCAGTGGCAGAGCACTCACATAGCATGTATGAGACCCTGGGTTCTATCCCTAGAACTAGAAAAGAAGTCAAGATGGTCAAGCCAGTTGGAAGTTCCCACAGGTAGAACATCTCTCATCCCATAGGTGGACCGGCTGCTTCTTGACAAGGACCCCACAGGATAGCAAGCTTACCTGGGGAGAGATGCCACACCTGTAGCTTCCGCTCTGGCCCAGTTGCTTGAACATATCTCTGCTTCCGCTGAGAGAGAATTTAGCAAATAATAAATCACACACGTTGCCCAGACCAGGATTGTAGGAGCCTTTCATTTTTTTTATACACAGAAATTTTGGTCTATTCTTTAAATTAGGAAAATTCCACTACAGACATAAAATTATTATGCATCTGTGGTCTTCCTCATTAAGATATTTTTGTTTATCTTTATAACAGGCAGATAAAAATGTAAAACATATTTATTAACTGAACACAGTTGACCAAGCCATTCCATATAATATAATGCTTTAGAAAGAGGGGCTTCCCTCAGCCTGAAGACTGTACAAGAATCAGAGCAAAAGATGCAAGCTCACAGTGCCCCTTTCCTGAACCCCACAGCCCAGCGCAAAGGCAACCAAGGGACCACACAGTCAACATTTACATCAGGCAACTTTACACAGCAGCAGTGAGGGTTTGCTTTTTAATATATAGTGGCCATTTGCTCTACCAATGTGTCTACAACAGAGGATGAAAAGAAGCCCATGAGTGTGGCCATATACAGCTGACCTTCTTCAACCAAAACGCTTCAAATTTTATTTCTTGTTGAAGAACACAAAGACCCTCAACAAATTGAGTTGCCCTTTTTTGTTGTGGTGGTTTGAACAAGGACATCAGGGAACAATTTACAAATGAGTAACATTCTCAATGTGCCCTTTAGAAAAAAGGGATGGCTTTAAGGTATCCGCAGCTGGCATTGGAAAGTGGGATTTGCTCTTCTAACTGAAATTCTTTTGCCCGAGATTTGACTACTCCTGCTCAGGGGTGACATGGCGTTAATGTGAATGCTGGGGCAGAGCATGTTTTCTTTTGGATTTGCATGGATGCTGGGGAGGTGAGGCAAGGCCACCACTAGGCTTCCAGTACAGGATGGGGGTGTGACAGGCCCAGCTCCCTGGGGAGCTCCACTTATTCTCATTGTACACCCCTTGGCTTCCACCTGTGTCCTGGATGCTGAGCCCTAAGCAATAGGCTTATGTGGGGTCTGTGGTGAGACCCCAGTTACCTCCCTGTGATGGGTGACACCCGTGAGTTCAGAAGGTAAAGGAACCTCATGGGTAAAGTGCTGCCCATTTCACTGGTGTCACTGTGGGTGTCCACACTTGGCCTTCCATGGGAAAGGGGCGCATCTGTCCCAGACATCAGGAGCCTCTCACTCCTGCGTTCCCTGCATTTTCCTCTTGGGTTATCGCTCTTTAGGGGAATACGAGGCTTGGTGTGCTGGGTGCCTGCATTTGCCAGGAGAGACGCTTGGGGAACCCATCTCAGGAACCCCAGGCCCAGCTCTCCTGGCCTGCTGACCAGCCCTGCCTGCCTGGATGGTCCCGAGCCCTGCCTGCCCCTTGTTCAACCACTATGGCCCCAGTTGAATCACTGGCATGATGAGACTGACAGCAACACTGACAAAATGCCATTGCTCCAAGAGGCTTTGCTTCTCTAATGTTGCCGGAAGTGGCAGCGACACAAATCCATGCCTTTGTGGGTTATGTTTATCTTTTGGATGAGAAGACCAGGGTTGGGAGAGTGCTCTGGCAGGGGGGCACTACTCGTGCTGCAGCAGACACTGAGACACTGAGGCGGGCCAGTGAGTGCTTCCTGGCATTTGCCAAAACACAGAGTGGGAGCCCAGGCAGTGGTGTCAAGGGTGATGGGGTCTGGATGGTTTCCCTCAAGTCAGCTTCTTGAGTTTTTTTGTTTGGTTTGGTGCTGGGTCTCGTCATGCTAGGCCAGCGCTCTGCCACTGAGCCATACCTCCAGCCCAGCTTCTTAGGTTTTGATGATCCCTCTTCTTCAGTTGTTTTCTGTTGGACTCTGGTCTTGCATTGGGGGCCATCACTCTCTGCTCTTCCAGGGCTTCTCCCAAGGACTCTGGGTCCACCCATTGGGTTAGACGGGTCAGGGGCTGTAGAACCCACAGCTCACACACAGTGCTTCATGCTCTTGAAGTAGGAGTTAGACAAAGAAAACCATCAGCCAGAATGAAGGATTTGGAATTGGAATCAAAACCAAAGGAAGCCAAAACAAAAATTCCCCTTCCACCTACTGGAGGGGGGCCATTCTCATCAATACTTTGGTATTTTCCTTTTAAATAAAAAATCCCATTGAAAGGTTTTTCTCCTCTATAGGCAGGGGTCTCAAAGTGCAAATGTTCCAATTGTAAGGCCTCCAGGCCTCGAGCATCCCTCCCCAGACTTCCTCCTTGGGAATCTCGGCAGGGCTAGGAAGGAGAAGCAGTGGGGTGGGGGTGGGGTCCTGAGGGGCCAGGAGTTAGGGAAGAAAAGATATTAACTGAGAACATATTCTTGCAGCCTAGTTCCCTGAAAAAAACCTTGCTACATTCAGTAATGAAATTTCAAAAGGAAAACGCTTAATAAGAGGAATGGAAATATCATGCCAATAGTTCCTTATTCTTTAGATATGCATCTTGTCATATATATGTATATGCATATAGACACACACATACATATGTACGCACAAGCACACGCAGGGACTGCAGATGGGTCTAGTGTACTCAGAATGAGTTGCTTTGCAGTTGCAGGTACACTTGCAGGCGGCTCCCTCCGGTGGCCTGTCTGGGCAGTGGCACCCTTCCTGACCCTGCAGAGCGCTGGCCTTTTTTGGTGAGGGTATGCAGATCTGATTGCTTGCTGGTGGGTGCAATGAAGCTCCCAATAAACCAAAACCAGCCCCTGCCCCCACCTCACAGCCAAAATGGCGAACACATGGTGAAATTGTAGTGTTCTTTAAAAAAGGATTGGTAGAAAAAAAGTGGGGAGCACAGCTGTTCTTGCTCTTTCCTTTCTCCTTCTTCCCATCTGGGTGAAGAACCTTCCCCCTCCTCCTCCACTTGCCCATCTACTCCCTCCTTCTCCTCTTCCTCTGTCCCAGATGGAAGGCCTGACGGACTGCACCTTACTGGATGGATTTGGCTTCTTACAAGAATATTCTTCAGCCACCTTAGTCGTTTCCCTCTTTGGCAGGTGTGTGGGCTCCCCCCCTCCCCGTGTGTGTGTGCGTGACTGTGTGCGTGTGACTGCATGTGAGTCCAAGTGTGCATGTGCCGAGAGAAGTTCTGGTTAGAGGGACGTCTCCACGCTGTGGAGCGGGCTCCCGGGCCTGGAAGAGAATGCTGAAGAGGTAGCTGACTTGGTGACATGCGTGGCCAGGTAGATGCCGCTGTCTATGGCGTTGTTGTTCTGGTTGGGGGCCGGGGGTGGGGGTGCTCGCAGGCGCTCCTCGTTCTCGTCCACATCTGTGTCATCGATGAGCGGGATGTTGTGGGTGTAGTCATTGATCAGAAACTCGGGCGTTGCCATGAAGTTGTGGATGGAGCTCTTGGATTCCGGTTTCTCCAGGCCTTCATAGAGTGAGCTACGGAAGGCTTTCACCACCCGGATCTGGAGTGGGAGGTGGAGGGAAAGGCAGAGGTGGGAGCAAGGAGGGGGGAAAGGAAAGGAAACAATTAATGGCTGGCTGGTGCTGCCAAGTTCTGCCCACATCAATGGCTGGGGGTCATCACATGATAAATGTTCATCCATGGGGGGGGGCTGACACAGAATGGGGCTGGCATTGTGGAAAGGGCTTGCAGGTCTGGGCCTTGGTCTTAAGTGATCTCCATGCAGGAAACATGGCTGACCTGGGCAGATGTTCTAGAACACTTTGCTCTTGATCTAGGAGCAGGACTAGTTTAGGTGGTTCCTAGGGTCTGTCCAGTCTGAATTTCAATTTGGTAGTAAAGAATGATTTTTAAAAGGGAGACTTCTGGTGAGTGGGCTCTCTACTGTGTCTTACCTGAAAGAATTAAATACTTTCTGATAAGAGAGAGATCCCAGCCTATGTGCTTTGCTGGCCTTTCTGGAATGGTTCTCCCTCATAAGCTTCCCTCACCTCCATCACAGTGACTCCTGTGGCTGCAGCCAAGATCCACCATGCCCAGTCACATCTGGTCACTGCAATCCCTGCTGCTAAGTCCAGCAGCCACTTCTGTATCTTAATCTTAATTGATCCCTCAGGGACACTCAACACAGCTGACCTCCTGTTTGTTTCTGGAAACTTCCCCGACACTGTTCCTGTTGACCTTCTTTTACCTTACCAGCTGTTCTGGCCCCACATCCTCTACTGCTCCCTTTTCTGTCCTAGGGTTCCCCAGAGCTTTGGCCTCTCCCTGCTCCTCTGTCCATATCTCCCCACCCTGGCCACAGAGCTGGGGCCCATCTGACTAGAACCAGGGACTGTGGCATAGGCCCCTCATCAGAGCTCCAGGCCTGAGAGCCTGTCAGTCCCCAATCTGGGGCCAAGAGTGAAAATGGCCACACTTTTGATTTGCAATATATCACCCACCCCTGTCCAGGCTTCCCCATCTACTACAGAGGTCCTTGTGGTCTCCTCACAGCTCCATGCAGCAGCTAGATGTATCTGATTGGGTTTGATTGCATGCTTGGGACCACCAGCAGTCCTTTGCAATCTACTGCCACCTTCTCCTCCAACCTCTCTCACACTCTGCCCTCTTCCTCCTCCTCCTCACTCTTCCATGCAGACATCCTTGGACTTTGTCATAGCCAGCCACTGGAGCCCTCAGCCCTCAGCAAAGCCCCTTGCATCTCCTGTAGGACTCTGCTCTGACAATTAGCTTCTCCCTCTTCTGACCTCTCTATCTTTACTTACAATGGACTCAAGTCTCATCAGTTTTATGAGCCACAGGACCACTGCCTGTCTTTGATCCCTTGCTGGATTCCCAGGCTAGTCTCCCTCCAGCTTCTAGAAGCCAGAAGTTGATAGGTAGGCTTCTGTCAGGCCTTGTACAAGCCAACATAAGCAAAGCCAGTCCAGCCGCTCTTCTATGGGGGCAGTGGAAAGAGTGCTGTCCTGCTAGGTAGGACACTGGGGTCTGCCTGGCCCCAGTTAGCTCCTTCCTATGTGAGGGAGTGGACATATTATAAGTTCTTAATGTCATTTCCAAGTTCAAGGTCCTAGAATTTGGTTTTCTTGCTTTAGATAAGGTGTCAGCAAACTACAGTCAGAGGGTTAACCCCAGCACTCTGCTAGGGTTATAAATAAGTTTTTATTGGCAAGTGGCCATGGGCATTCATCTATGTTCTGTCCACAGCTTCTGTCAAGCTACAAGAGCAGGGTTGTGTAGTTGCGACAGAGACCTGGCCCCAAAAGCTAAATATATTTACTCTCTGAACAGTTGGCCAGTCCCTAGTTTAGACAATGAATCACCCTGACTACAATGAGTCCCTTTCAGCCCCCAGAGTCTGGACCTTGGGGCCTATAGCTCAGCCAGGGCAAGCACAGAGCTCTTAAATCAGTTTAAAGGAGGCAGACCTTGGAGCCTTGGCAGTGCAAAAAAAAACTGGAGCCAAAATGTTCCATAAAACGGGAGTTTTCTAACTCCCTGTTGAAATCCAGTGAGGATTTTCTCTGGACTTGGTGAAGCCACATCTGCCAGATTGCAGATGGTCAGCCATTCTCTCTCAGGTCTTTATCCCAGACTGGTTTCTGAAATAGGGGTATCACAGAAATTGAGGCCCATTTGACATTGTTAATAAAAAGATTATAATTTACTTTTTATAGCCAATTTAGGTATTTCCTTGTTAGTTAGGATTTCTGGTGCAGGACTGGAGTGTTGATGCTCAGGACATTACCTTCTCCAGCTACCAGCCACACCTATTAAGTCACGGAAAAGAGAAAAAGCTGAACACTGGTGCCCTTGATCCTGGGGATGTGCTTAGTAAGTTCGCCAGCAATGCACCCATGATCTTGGCAACACCCTTTTCCTTGCTGAGCAGGAGGCCTTATTTGGATCTGGGTCATATGATCAGGCCAGGCCCCTGCTCAAACCTATCCACAGGTCTCATTGCACCTGGCTGAACTCCAAAGCCCTCCCCCACAAAGGGCGGCCAAGGCCACAGGACAGTCCTTGCCTGCTGCTTCCGCTTCTATAGCGATGGCTGCTCTGGCCCTAACAGATTGTCCAGGGTGCTCCTCTTGGGAGTAATCTGCCATGTTTGCTTCCTACTGCCACAGCCCAGTGGAGTACTTTCTTAGCCAACACTTGGGGAGCACAGGTGTGAACGAGAGATCTGTCCTGGAATGAGAGGGCCACCCTGCTCTAACATTCTGCTGTTGTGTTCAAAGCAGGCTCAAGTCATCATGAGTCTTACAGCTGATGGTGAGTCACTTTTTGTCCAGGTCCTCTTTTCCCTGCACTCAAATCTGGGGCTTCTAAAAATGGCTTTTTATTGGTTTTATGCTGGTGTTCTAGGGGACCCTAAGCTGGAGGGTGCAAGCCATTCCTGGGAAATTGTTTTAGTGAAAACTAATGAGTGTTTCTAAGACAGGCCCCTCTTGGGGACTGAGCTTGCACTCAGGTGCTCATGGACAGCCCACGGCCCCAGACTTCCTCCACTTGGCATGGAATTCAGTGTTCCTGGCAAAGGCATGGCCCAAGCCTTGCCCCTGTACCTTGGCTTGCACTGGCTTCTTCTTAGGTTCTTGCCTGGCTTCCTGCACGTTCCTTAGCTTATCTCTATTCCTCCCAAAGGAACCTTGCCACCTTCAAGGCTGGTAGTGCTGTCTACAGCCTGTCAGACCATCTGGACACCATCAATGCCATCTGCACCATGTCCACTTGTATACCTGCCATCAGGGACATTCATCCCGATTACCAGACTTTGGCACCCTCACAGGCTCCTTGGAGCCTCTCCTTGGATGTCTCCTGTCTCATCTCTACCCCATTGCTCCTTGCCCTCTTCCTGCCAAAGCTTAGAGGCACCTTGATCCCCACCCCACTGTCTCAGCAGCCTGGTGGGCCCTACTTACATGAAATGTCTTTCACATCAAACCCCTCTCCACCTCCACTGCTGCCTCCATGTCCCACCTGGGGTTCCAAGGCCCCTGGGAACTCACAAGCCCCGTGGTCAGAGACCTTGTCTGCCTGGGGATTGATCTTTCCTCAGCGCCTGTCTCATGGCTCCTAACTAAGGTGTGATGACCCTATGGTCACCTGCACTATCTCTTTTGCAGATGGCATTTTCAGGCACTCTCTGGCTACTGAGTCAAATCCTGCCACTCCCCATTTGACTCTAAACATTCTAGAAGGTGATAGGTCAGGCCTGGATCTTCACTTTGAGTGGAGAATTCATCCCACAGTCATCTACTCCCCAAAGTCCATTTTTCTAAAGAATAACCTTTAAAGAAAATAAATAAAACAGACTCCAGGAAAGATGAGTCCTAGGGTCAGGGCTGAGGCTTCTGGGAATGCAGAGGGGGGTAAGGTGGGCTGTCACTCTTGCCAACTCTGCTGCCCTTGTCTAGGTCACTTGTTCCCTCTCATTCCTGCAGTCCCTTCCAGTTACTGCCCCATTTTTCCATGCCCAGTTATAGCCAGTAGCCCTGAGAAGGTTGATGCTTTATTTCCTCCCATGCCCCAGCAGTCACCCACACAGCAGGGTACTCAATGATGCTCCTCCCCTCAGCTCCTTTTCAGCCTGTTTGCCAGCCCCCTTCCCCTGACCATTCCCTGTCATCCCCTTGTGGCCTCCCATCCATCTGTCTGCCAACCACTGTTTTCTCTGCAGTTTCAGACATGGATATTTAAGCCAAGTCTCAAACTTAATTGACCCCAAAGCTCCAGGCCCAGCCCTCACCAATTCTACTGCTCCCTCCAAATGACATCCAGAATGCAACTTCACACCCCTCCACTACCGCTGCAGCCACCACCACACCAGGTACACACTGGCTGTTGTAGGGTCCCCTCCCTCATCTCCCTGCTGCCACCCTTGACCCCCATAGTCTATCGTCAGCAGAGCAGTCCGAGAAATCCTTTCCACTGGAAGCCTCCATCAATGCAAAGCCTCCCAAAGCTGTGTTTCCGGCAGAGGAAGGAGAGAAGTCCTGCCCCAGCACTGCTTCAGACTTGCTTTTTCTGTTACCCTTTACGCCCTTCAGCTTCTAGCACATTCCTTCCTTAGGGTCTTTGCACTGACTCTTCCTTCTGCCAGGACGGCTCTTCCTCAGTAAGACTCAGGATGCCCCTCCTGCCTCTTCAGCACCCCTGCACCCACTTTGGTTTCCCTTACTCCCTTGCCCATTCCCCCTTCAAACATGCCCCCCACATTGTCTCTCCTGTCTCCTTCCACTGGAGCATAAGTCCCCTGGGAGAGGGATTTGTAGCCTTCTGTGATGGCCCCAACACCCAGCAAAGTGCCTGCACCCAGCAGGGGCTCAGTGAGCAGGTGCACAATGTCTGGGACTCACCCCACTGGCCCCTGGCTCCCCCTACCTGAGGCTGTTCCCACACTTTGCCATAACTAGCTAGCTGGAGCTGCTCCAGAGCACTCCAGCAGAAGCCCCTACCCCTGCTGATTTGTGACTCCTGCCCTAGACTGTTCTTCCTCCAGACAGAACCCAGCTGAAATAACCATTCTCGCAGAGGCTGTCCCAGATGACCTGGGACCCAGAAGAGCACTTCTCATGCCTCTCCTCTCTGCTCTTTCCTTCTGAGGCTTGGGATCATCTGCCCAGGGGAGACTCCAGTGCCTCTGTGTGCCTTAGACAACAGGGCTTGTGGAGCTTGGTGGGCAGCTGACCTGGATGAATGAGGTGAGCCTTACCCAGGCTGTGATGCTGCAGACCAAGCCCCCCACAGCCCCCCTAAGCTGCAGCATAAGGGAAGCATGCAATCCCATTGGTGGATGCTCAGTGTGGAGGCACCCCACTTAGGGCACAACTTGCTTAGGCCTTCAAGTGCTGGGGTTTGTGATGTGAGGGTGGGTGGGGTGGAGCAGGGATGCAGAAGCAGAGAAAGCGAGGGACTAGACAGGCAAGGGACTGAGGGAATGCCCACCCCATTGAAAAGAATGGAAAAGAAAATGAAAAGAAGAGAAATAAAAGCAAAGGCCTCCAAACCACAGTGACGACAGTAACAACAGAAACTGCCTGATGCCTTCTCGCCTCTTCGAATTCCTTGAGCTGCTGAGGTGCTGCTTGGTGTCAGCCTCTAAGGCTCATGGAGCTCAGATTTTTCTGACTGAACTCCTCCCCTGCCTTTCTACTGCTGTACCAACCATTAGTCCAGAATCTTGTTGGAAAGCAAGGACTTGTCAGCTGCCTTGCCATCTGGGAAATGAGAAGCCTGGAAATTTAGAAAAGTTGAGCTTTGGCCTCACTTCTCTGTGTTGGGGGAACAGCAACAGCAAGGGGAAGGTCCCTTTCTTCCCTGTGGAGGGGTTGTGTGCTTGAATCAGGAAAACGAAAATACAAACTCCAAAGTTGGCCATTTCACCAAGCAATCACACCAGAAACTAAAGATATGGCTTTCTGTATGTTGCTGGTGAGTTTTGTGAAAACTGCCTCCCTTCCTATGCACACATAAGACCAGGACCATGAAATCCCAGGATTGTGCTCCTGAAATCAACAGTTGAGCCCAGGCTTTTCAGGTAGTCAGATTATGAGGAACTGGAAGGAAGCCCTTGCCTCTTTTACCAGCTGCATCCAGCTGCAAGGCCTCAAAAAAAATCTCATGAGCTCATGAGGGCTTCCAGGGTTTTCCCTAGGTTGGTTCTGGTGTGTGCTTTAGGAATTGCCTGCAGGGTTGTTCCACTGTGGTAGGGCCTGGGGTTCCAGAGAGGTGTGGGGCAGGGAAAGGATCCCATTGGGGGCCTGATTATTTCCCACTGTGGAGGCACTATGCACAATGTCAGATAGCTAAGAAAAAATTTCAGTATACTATTCACAGAAACCCAAGTGGGGAGATTTGGCTTAACATCAGTTAACTTCCTGACAATAAATTCCAGAAAGCAAGACTATTTTTTCTTTGCCAGTTCCTTCCACCATGGGACTATGAGTGTGAGATGAACATGCTTCCATGGGTTCTGGAGAAGTATGTCCAAGTGAAGCAGTGGCAGCTTATCTAGCCCAGTTTGACCCAACGGGAAAAAGGGTTTTCATGTTGCAAAAGAAAAAGAAAGCAATTGATGTGATCTGTTTCCACTTGGCAAATCAGAACTAAATGCCCAGAGTAAGCTTCTCTGTCTACATGGGACCAAACCCACTGACCAGCCCTGTCCCTTTGCTGGACCAAGTCAGGAGCCAACTCCTGAACTACTACAATAGTGACAGTTCAAGTATAGAGGCCCAGCATTGCTGCAGGAAGGATGGAATGGACTTGGCTATCAGTAGGAATGGAAGGACCATCAGCGTGAGGTGCTACAGAACAGACTTTGGATGTGGCTGCAGGGAGGCCGAGATGTGTCTACTTGTTGCCATGGAAAGCAAAGGAAAAGGATCCTTGGCTACAGAGCCCACAGAGAGGCTTTGTTAGTACCAGGACCTGGCTTTGCTGTCCCAAAGATCCCACAGCCACCTGTTCGTACCACAAGGCAGATTACAGTGCCCTGGGCTTACTTCAATATACCATCTCCAGCCACACTTTGGGGATATTGACACCAATTGGAAAAGAGATGCTGGGCTTCCCACTGCATTAGCTTGTGAGTGCACAGTTGGAGGTGGGACTGATACCCCAACTGGGAACAGGATTTCACAGCCCCCTAATTTCCTAAGCCACCCCAATGAGCTGGTCTCAGGGTCATGGCCCAGGTAATGTGAAATGAGGTGGCAGCAGTGGAGGGAAAGACACTCCACACTCCACCTTGGGCTGGGAGGAGGAGTGGCTGTCAGCTGGGAGGAAGCTACAGAAGCTATGCTGGAGCTAGGAGTCACAGGTCATAGCTAGGAGTCAGCAGATCACATCATTTGTAATATGATGTGACAGTGGTGTATTTGGACAATCCTTTGAGTGAGAACAGAGGCGTGTGCAGTCATGTGGTGTGGGAGGCTAGAAAGGGTGGGGAGGTGTACTAAGCCCCCAGGATCCCGGTTACCCTCTGGTTTGGAGGACATCCTCTGGCCACTTCTTTCATTGGCCCTGAGGGCACAGGGTGTGTCCCTTCTCCTTGGAGAGCCTGAGGGTCCTTAGTGGGAAGGACTTTGAACTTCAGGCCCCTCCAGTGCTCTGAGAGCTGCAGGCACAGTCCTGACTCCTTGCGGGGCTAAAAGGAAGACCTGCCTGGAGCATGTGAAGCGGGTAGGAATTCCTCATGTATGGAGCCATGGTTTTCCTTTGGAAACTGTGTGACTTATGGAAACTTTCAGCCTGTGACCATAACACCTTGTACAATGCTGCCTCTTGTCTAGGGGAGCTCTGTCATGGCCTTTGGCCTGCTTTCTTTCTGAGCAGCTCTGGTCCTCTGGAAAGTTCTAAGGACAGAAGGGGGGCTGGGGCTAGTCCCCTCTCTACCAGGCCTGGCAGCCTAAGGGACCCTGAGTAGGTCCTGGCCCTTGCGGGCACCTGCCTTCTCCTGATTTGTAAGATGAACGTGCTGGGCTCAGTGATTTCCTGGGGTCCTTGTAAGTCAGGGTGGGGGTTAGGTTCTGAGTTCTAAACCAGTCTGCCACAGGTGATGATGGCAGGAAGTGGTTTTAGTCGGTAGCTTCCAGAAGCTTCCCCCTTGGAGTTGCTAGGTGTCTGAGCCAGCATCTTCCTTCACAGTCCTTTTTGAGGTGCTGCTGCTCAACGGGGCTGAGATTTCTAGGCCAGCCTTTGTCAGTTGGGACTTTGGGACCCCTGTTTCTTCATACCAATACCCTCCTTGGAAGGCCCTGCCGCCCAACCCTTGCTGCCACTGCTTGGGTCCCCCCCTGGAATAGCTTGTGAACAGCGGGAGGGTGGCATCTCTCCCACTGTACTTACCGGGCACTGCTGGGCTCCAGAGATGGGAAGGAGGGGGACAGATGTTCATGGAAGAAAGGAAAGAAGCAAGGTGCTGAGAGCCAAGGAAGAAGAGAGAGAGAGGCTGCCCCCAGGTAGGAAGTGGGAGGAATTCAGAGGAAGGGAAGAGACAGCATGCCTCACTCCGGAGACTGGAGGTAGGTGAGGGGGTCCACAGAGACTGGGCTGGCCCTGGGTTGGGACAAGGCCAGAGCTGTGGAGAATGTGTGAGGGCTGTGTGGAGTAGGGCTCTGCCAGCTGCCTTCCCCCCCAAGTCGACATGTGGGCAGATGGACAGACAGACAGGAAATGCAGAGAAGGCAAAGGAAAATATGTAGGAAGTCAATGGGAAGGAAAGGACAGGGCAGATCTACATGTGTCCTTTGGGGACACTTGCACCCACCTTTGCCCCTCACATCCCAGGAAGGAAGGTGCAGTTGCCCACCTGGGCCCTGGTCAAAGTGTGCTTGGGAGACCACACATCATTTCTGTCCTTAACTGACTTGGCAGAGACTGCTGATGGCCTCTTTGGGTGGGGTGGAGTTGAGGCCCTTTGGGGCCCCTGACTGTGTGTGCCAGGAGTGCTGGCTGCTTTCCAACTCAAGGGTGATGGGCTTCAGCCAATATTTTTGACCCAGGTGGGTGGTCCAGTGGGCGTATCAACAAACTGGAGGGGTATGTGGCCTGTGGTTTGGAGAAGGGGTGTGTGTGCACGCACGCCTGTACTGTTCCCCAGGGTGGCCCTAAAGGACAGCTTAAGCAAGAGGAGGGTGCCCCCCACCGGGGACCTCTCACGGGTTCCTAAAAAAAAGAAAAGAAAGAAATCAAGCAAAAAGAAACTCGAAGAGTCTGTGATGAGAAAAAGGCATAGTTAAGGACTCGCGTCTGCGTGGGAGCTGCGGGGCTTCCCTGGAAGGCAAGGAAGAGGTAGCATTCAACCATCCCGTCAGGGGCTGTGGGATCATAGTTTGAAGGCTTACTGTTTGGTTTTGAAATTTCCTGAGTTTGTTACAAGTAGCAGGCTGCCTGGGTGGGAATGGGGGACCTCACGTGGTTCCCGTGGTCTCTCCTGTTGGGTGAACCAGGGTAGCAGGTTCAGCAGTCTAGTGGCCTTTCCTTTGTCTTTGTAAAAAATGTGAGTGATTATGGAAGTTTCTACCTACTTAGGATGGCCCCTGGGTTCTCTAAAATGTGAGCAACACAATGGACCTTTTCACTGAAATGTACCGAAGGGAATTGATTTCTCCTGGCTTCTTGGAAGAAGGAGGAGCGAGCATGGACCAGTGGGTTAAGACCTTCCACTCCTGGGGCCTGTTTGGAGAGAGTGAAGGTGCTTTGGGAACAATGGAAATGTGGTTCCCTCCGTGTCTTCCTGGCCTCTGAGCTCCAGTTCTCCAAACACCTCTAATGTCTGTTGGCTTGGGTCTGGCCACACAGGGCAGGTGCCACCTACAAAGGAGCACATCACCACCGTTGAGCCTGCCTGGGGACAGGCGATAGTGGCATTCTTTGAAAGCCACCTCCAGGAGAATGCTGGACATGACTGCTTTAGTCCACCAGGAGGTGGGCTGAGTTCTTCTGCTGCAAATGGTGCCACATGGCGGCACTTACCTCCTACTCCAGCCCCAGGAGGTTGGCCCTGAGACACATACTTCCCTGAAACTCCCCACAGAACATGGAGCCAGGCCTCAGCCTGGTGTCAGACACTATTGGAAGAGGCCCAAGTTCATGAAGAACCATCGGCACATACAGATAAGGTCAAGAAAAGAAAACCAATGGCAGAAGGAGCACTAAACACAAACCAAAAAATCAAACAAAGCAAAGGACGGAAGGC